ACGACACACAATTGTTGATGAAGTCACAGTTAGCGGTAATATTATTTGAACTGAAACTTTAATGCAAGACTTCTGGACGTTGTTTTTAGTCAAAGTATTCTCTTGAACAACAGACGACACACAAAATGTTGATAAAGTCACAGATATCGGTCATAATCTTAGAACTGAAACCTTAAAGCAAGATTTCTGGACGTTATCTTTATTCAAAGGATTCTATTAAATGACACTCAACTGATTATAAAGTCACACATTTCAGTCATAATAATAGAACTGAACCCTGTATGGAAGACTTCTGGACGTTGTCTTTAGTCAAAGTTTTTTCTAAAACGACAAATGACACCCTACTGTTAATGAAGTCACAGATATCGGTCAAAATATTAGAACAGAAGCCTTAATACAAGAATTTTGAACATTGTATTTAGTCAAAGTATTCTCTAAAACCACAGACGACACACAATTGTTGATGAAGTCACAGATATCGGCCATAATCTTAGAACTGAAACATAAAGCAAGACTTCTGGACGTTATCTTTAATCAAAGTATTCTAATAAACGACAAACGACACCCAACTGATTATAATGTCACAGATATCGGTCATAATATTAGAACTGAACCCTGTATGGAAGACTTCTGGACGTTGTATTTAGAGAAAGTTTTCTCTAAAACGACAAATGACACCCAACTCTTAATGAAGTCACAGATATCAGTCATAATAATAGAACTGAAGCCTTAATGCAAGACTTCTGGACGTTGTATTTAGTCAAAGTATTGTCTAAAACCACAGACGACACACAATTGTTGATATGAAGTCACAGATTTTGGTAATAATATTAGAACTGAAACTTTAAGGCAAGACTTCTGGACGTTGTTTTTAGTCAATGTAGTCTCTAAAACGACAGACGACACACAAATGTTGATAAAGTCACAGATATCGGTCATAATATTAGAACTGAAACCCTAAAGCAAGACTTCAGGACGTTATCTTTACTCAAAGTATTCTATAAAACGACAAACGACGCCCAACTGATTATAAAGTCACAGATATTGGCCGTATTATTAGAAATGAACCCTGTATGAAAGACTTCTGAACGTTGTATTTAGTCAAAGTTTTCTCTAAAACGACAAATGACACCCAATTGTTCTTGAAGTCACAGATATCGGTCATAAAAATAGAACTGAACCCTAATGCAAGATTTCTGGACGTAGTATTTAGTCAAAGTATTCTCAGAAACCACAGCCGACACACAATTGTTCATGAAGTCACAAATATCGGTATTAATACTAGAACTGAAACTTTAAAGCAAGACTTCTGAACGTTGTTTTTCGTCAAAGTATTTTCTAAAACGACAGACGACCTACAAATGTTGATAAAGTCACAGATATCGGTCATAATATTAGAACTGAAACCCTAAAGCAAGGCTTCAGGATGATATCTTTACTCATTGTATTCTATAAAACGACAAACGACACCCAATTGATTATAAGGTCACTGATATCGGTCATAATATTGGAACTGAACCCTGTATGGAAGACTTCTGGACGTTGTATTTAGTGAAAGTTTTCTCTAAAACGACAATTGACACCCAATTGTTCTTGAAGTCACAGATATCGGTCATAATAATAGAACTGAAGCCTCAATGCAAGACTTGTGGACGTTGTATTTAGTCAAAGTATTCTCTAAAACCGCAGACGACACACAATTGTTCATGAAGTCACAGATACCGGTAATAATATTAGAACTGATACCTTAAAGCAAGACTTCTGGACGTTGTTTTTAATCAAAGTATTCTCTAACCCGACAGACGACACACAAATGTTGATAAAGTCACAGATATCGGTCATAAGATTAGAACTGAAACCCTAAAGCAAGACTTCAGGACGTTATCTTTACTCAAAGTATTTTATAAAACGACAAACGACACCCAACTGATTATAAAGTCACAGATATTGGTCATAATATTGGAAATAAACCCTGTATGAAAGACTTCTGGACGTTGTATTTAGTCAAAGTTTTCTCTAAAACGACAAATGACACCCAATTGTTCTTGAAGTCACAGATATCGGTCATAATACTAGAACTGAATCCTTAAAGAAAGACTTCTGCATGTTGTATTTAGTCAAAGTATACTCTAAAACCACAGAAGACACACAACTGTTGATGAAGTCACAGATATCGGTCATAATATTGGAAGTAAAGCCCTAATGCAAGACTTCTGGACGTTGCTTTTAATCAAAGTATTCTCTAACCCGACAGACGACGCACAATTGTTGATAAAGTCACAGATATCGGTCATAATATTAGAACTGAAACCCTAAAGCAAGACTTCAGGACGTTATCTTTACTCAAAGTATCTTATAAAACGACAAACGACACCCAACTGATTATAAAGTCACAAATATCGGTCATAATATTGGAAATGAACCCTGTATGAAAGACTTCTGGACGCTGTATTTAGTGAAAGTTTTCTCTAAAACGACAAATGACACCCAATTGTTCTTGAAGTCACAGATATCGGTCATAATAATAGAACTGAAGCCTTAATGCAAGACTTCTGGACGTTGTATTTTGTCAAAGCATTCTCTAAAACCACAGACGACACACAATTATTGATAAAGTCACAGATATCGGTCATAATATTAGAACTGAAACCCTAAAGCAAGACTTCTGGACGTTGTTTTTTGTCAAAGTATTCTCTAAAACGACAGACGACACACAAATGTTGATTAAGTCACAGATATCGGTCATATTATTAGAACTGAAACCCTAAAGCAGGACTTCAGGACGTTATCTTTACTCAAAGTATTCTATAAAACGGCAAACGACACCCAATCGATTATAAGGTCACTGATAACGGTCATAATATTGGAACTGAACCCTGTATGGAAGACTTCTGGACGTTGTATTTAGTGAAAGTTTTCTCTAAAACGACAAATGACACCCAATTGTTCTTGAAGTCACAGATATCGGTCATAATAATAGAACTGAAGCCTTAATGCAAGACTTCTGGACGTTGTATTTAGTCAAGGTATTCTCTAAAACCACAGACGACACACAATTGTTGATGAAGTCACAGATATCGGTAATAATATTGGAACTGAAACTTTGATGCAAGACTTCTGCACGTTGTTTTTAGTCAAAGTATTCTCTGAAACGACGCAGGACACACAAATGTTGATAAAGTCACAGATATCGGTCATAATATTAGAACTGAAACCCTAAAGCCAGACTTCTGGACGTTATCTTTACTAAAAGTATTCTATTAAACGACAATCGAAGTAAACTATTAAACGACAAACGAATGAAGACCAGAATTTTGAAGACAGGAAATTTTGAAGACAGGAATAGTCGCATCATCCGGCCCACAGAAGCAACGTCAACAGCTCTACTTCCTTCTGCTCTTCCCGGGCTGTTAGTGGAAGTAAAGTGAGGGGCAGCACAGCAGCTGTCTGTGCGAACGCCAAAACTGCGCAACAAGTGTTGCGAAGAGTTTGCTTGTCATCGAAGGCTTTTTTGCCGACTCCCGATATGGCAGCCATATCACTTGTTTGGGGCTACATAGCTCGCGTAGTGAGCGAAAGAAGTGCGTGTGAGAACTGTGTGTCTTTAGTTAGGAAAGCAAAAGGAAACTCTGCTGTGGGTGGGTTGATTTACCACCAAGACAGGGGTGGCCTCTACTACCCAACACAAGAACTCATTGCAGTTCTTTTTGGACTGAATAATAAGTGGACATAACGCTGTCAGACAGAAAAGCTCTCCTGAAACCAATGGAGCAGTGTTTGCAGCACAGTGTCAGTGCAATCACAGGCTCGCCTGTGTTGAAATGTAAAAGCTGCAATGATGACCAGAGAGAGGCTTTCGTTAAAGTAATATGCAAAAAATTAATGAAGCCCCTATTTTCAAACCATGCATTACACGTAAGTGACAGAAATGCAGTGGTTAAGATGTATCACAACAAGCCGCTGTCACGCAAAGTACTGAAGCTTTAAAACGGCATATATTGGTTCTGTTCTTTGATTTTTTTCAGTGAAGTGATTTCTTTAGACTGCAGACATCCACTGTGATAGCAGTGTCATGGATTGGGGAACTCTTCTTCCACCCTATTCGCTTTAAATTGTTAGTTTCGCTACATATGCATGATGATGCCCCTCGTTTTTTACCATTGTATGTGACAACAAAGTCATTTTCTGCTTTACACTTTCTTTAACTACCAATATTTTGCATTTCTTTCTTCACAGCCGAGGCTGCTGCTATTTTGTATAGCTGTGATACTTACTCCTGTGATAAAATATATGCATGTTCCTTTTTGTTTACGATTTTCTGACAATTATGTGCATGAACCTGCAGTTGATTTTGCTTTACATCGATGTTATTTCTTTTTTTATGTTGAAGCAATATCTATTCGTATTATTACCGTACTGTGATATTGCGTCATCTGCAGCACACCCCAGCTCTTGGCAGAGAATGCTTGGGCTGGCCTTTTGCTGCAGTGAATAAATATTGTGCTATTGTAGTTCCACTTGATTTACTTTGTATTTTCGTTCTTCACTTTATTTTCACTCTGCTACGCCCTACAAACCTTGAAGGACAAAATTTTCACAAAGATGAGCGCTGCGAAGCTCCACAGAGCGACTAGCGTTGTGACTTTCTGTGACGGAGCGTAGTGTCAGAAGCTGGCGCCGCCTCGCGGCAGTCCGGTAAAACACTGTGGCCGTGGGTGAAGATTAGGATAGCGGCTGACGTGCTAGGCATCTCAAAGTATAGGAGGCGTTGGCAGTAGGTGCGAGGAGATTGGTCGGCACGGAGGCGACGCGTTCGAAGGGGAAGAGAAGGTGCATGTGCGGTGTTGTTTGATGCTTATTTCTTATTTGCTCCAGTTTTCGGCGTGTCTTGCCTGCGCTTCGATTTCACGTGACGGTTAGAATTCGGAAGTGCACGCTTTGTGGAGCGCTCGTTTGTCACACTGCCCCAACGAAGGACGCGGTGCTCGGTCCGACTCACTATGTCGTCTTCAAGCGGTAACGGCCGTTGGCAACTAAACGACTATGAACGCCGGCGTTCTCACCACAAGTTAATCACGGACGATGCGATGCTAGTACCCCTTCACGAAGACAGCCTTCGGCGGGATTTCATGTGCGGTATCTGTATCGACTTGCTGAGAAACGCCGTGGCGACGACCACGTGCCTGCACCGCTTCTGCGAGGAGTGTATCACAAAGGCGCTTCGCAGGTGCAACATGGAGTGCCCCATTTGCCGGACGAGGATAAGATCGAGGCGCGAACTGCGTCGAGACTATCGCATGGACATTCTAGTCGCCACACTTTTTCCGCGTGACGTCGAGGAGCTCATGTTCGATACAACGCGTGCAGCTACTTCAAGGAACCGCCAGCTTCTCGAAGGCGCACAGCGCCGTGTTGAAAACGATGTACGTGAGTGCACCGCTGTCGTAGGAAATGTCGTTGACCGAAGCAGCTGCGGTTCGGAGACCAACTGTGAGGTCGACCATTCTGAGGAACCTATGACTGTTGGATTGAATGGATCTGAAGAGGAAGCGAGTGGTCTATCCTTCTCAGCGTCTACGTTGCCTCAGCACGGAAGCTCGTACTAACAGCCACGGCGACAATCCCCTACATGTCCAGTTTACGAAGGCGGCAAAAGTTTTTTTTTTTTTTGAGGCCACGGGCCGGGGTATTCCTTGCGCATTCGAGCGAGGCGTACTCAATGCGCATGGTCCGATGAATACGACATTGATGTGTACAATATCTTGCTGGCAAAAAGCGCCGATGGCCCGAACCACAAGACGCACATAGACAACGCTCTCGACAACTCTACCGACGCTTCATTTTGTCGACTCTGCACGGCGCATTGCGACGGCCTGACCCTGGGCAAGACCACGAAAGTCGACATAACACTGAAGCCTCACCTCGACATGTTCTTTCAATTCCCCACGTAACCGACTCTTTCGGTTAACGTTTCGGTAGAGGTCCGCATCCAGGACCTATGCGGTTATGTCAGTGAGAGTCTTTATTCTGACAGCTCCGGACGACATTTCTCGAACATGCACAGCTTATACGCAGTCAGTGTGACAGGTGAGCTGATTGCACTTCCTGATATGACGGTGAAGGGTCTTTGAATATAACGAGAAAGTCTGCCGCAAGGAACGAACTGTATTACGCACCACGCGAAAGGCCTTGATTGTACACTTGTTTTCTTTGTGTCACGAAAACTCAACTCTTGCACAATGCCATGAAGAGTAATAAAGGTTTTTCGATGACTTTTCTTGTTGTTGTTGAGTGAACATGGAATCTAATAGTATGGTCACACGTCGTGCAGCACCTTTGAAAATTGGAAAATTGTCGTTTATTTTCAGTAATTTTCTAAATATATGTGGTCGGCAAACCATTTTTACCAACAGGCGCGCGAGAGAGAGCGACCAAAAACAAAAAAGAGGAAAGAGAAGAAGGATATTTAGATAAGCGTCGAGTTTGCTATCCTTCAATGGAGATAAAGGAATGAAGATTCAAAAAATGGCAGCATATTCACGGGGTGATTGATAGAGAGTGGGGCGAAGCATCCGTCCGTCCATTCGTTGTTGCTTCCGTCCATCCATGCGTCTGTCTGTGTGACCATCCATGCGTCCATCCACCCATCCGTGCGTGCGTCTGTTCGTGCGTCCATCCCTGCGTTCGTCCATGCTTCGGCCCTTGCGTCCGTCCATGCGTCCATAAGTCCGTGCACCCATCCGTACGTCCGTCCACGCATCTATCTGTGTGTCCGTTCGCCCATCTAGTCAACACTCCAAGTATCACCATCTCGCATTTTTTCATCATATATTCCGCATATAGAAGCACCACCATCGAGCGGACATTCCAAGGACTAAACGAGAGGTGGCACACGCACACTTTCTTACGGCTTGCGCTTCGTGTCTACTTCCCACCTGTAACCCCCTCGAGTTCATGGTATATACTAGTCCACTGTATTCATGGCACTGCGGCCCAACACTCGCTAAACCTTTTTAAAACCAAGGAGGGTACGCCCGGCGAGTATAACGTAGCAACCCTTTCTTGTCAGATAGCGCTCAATGTACATGCTAATGACTGCAAATGGGGAATGAGAGACACGAGATGTCGGCTTTTAGTTAACGCGCAGGCTGCCAATTTTTTAATGCTCAAAAACGGACCTGAGGAATCTCTCACCGGCACCACCTTGCAAGTCAAAGCGTAAGACGTGTTATGCACTACTACGAGAGACGAATGGGTGCCACTCAAAGGAGCTTCGCCACTAAAAGAGGAGAGCACTGTGCGTTCAAAGTTAGAGAGTCGGTCATTCAGCCACTGAGGCCGGAACTTCTCTGGCCAACATGACTTCAGCATTCCGACATGCGACTGGGAAATTGCAGCCTTGGAGAGGGTCGTGGGCTATCGACGGAGATTATATAAAAAAAGTCGACGACAGATTTCTGTCGCAGCACATGCAAAGCTACGCGAGTGGAGCTTCTGCACATGTAAAACCACGCCAACTAGCCCGATCTCTTGCAATTTCTGTTTCAAAAGTGCATCCAACACGTACTTTTTCGCACGAGTACCGTGCAACAAATCTTACACTTATTTAGGAGGAAACTAATAAAATGGTCATTTTTTCAAGGGAAATAACACAAAGTTTCTTTGAAGCGTTGATATTTACTTCAGAAAAAAAAGGGGTACGGCCAAGCAGATACTGTACAATTGGAACAACGCAAGCACAAGAAACCACTTCCTAAATTTCAGTGCATCCTTGGTCGGCATTTCTGTTTTCCTTCTTTGAGAGACGCAAGAGCTTTCTGGAGACCCTCACGTTATTTTCTTAGGGGACGCGAAGGCAACATTGTGAAGCAGAATTCTTGTCAATGATCGGTCATGAGCTGGCGTCTGACGCTCGTGAATCCAAGTGTGTGAAACTGAATCTTTATTCGGACAAGAACACTGTTTTTGTACACTCAACAGGGACGCAAACAGGGATACGTGGACGCATCTGCTACCAATACAAAGCGCAAGGAACGACTCCCTCCGTATACGCTGACGGGAGCGGGGTTACGGTACGCGATCTTGATTGTTGTCTTATCCACAATATTAGGCAGCCGAAACACTGACCACTTATGTAACGCAATTTAGGAAAAGGGTCAGTTTCCAATCGCATTTTTTCTTTCCAAGGAGCTGGTGATGCTGAAGACTGGCAGGCCTCCGGGGTCACTTTGCAGGCTGCTATACAGCGATGAAAGCCCCACTTTCGCTGATGGTAACGCTCACACACAAATTCTCGGTGATTTTATGTGCGTGAAACAAAATATTGAAGACACACTGCTGTCTTCGTTTCTTGCTGCTCCATGAATACACATCACCTAATCAAACCGTAATCATGCTCGCTCATAAGCTTTGATGTGAACTTGCTGCAGCCGAGCGACGCCATCGTTCTTTATCGGGGCTGAGAAAAGGTGAAATGGCACCAGCAAACCGGAAAACTAGTAACAGCAAAGTACGCAGAAACTGCACAGGTGATGGCTGAGCCAGTCGAGGTAACACAGAACAGGCTACTGCTTTATTAATGTGGCGGTCTCACTACGATGGCACGAACACACAGTTTGTGCAACTTTTTCAGCTAATGTGGGTGGCTGTTCTACTGGCTTATGTCCCAGCTGGAAAACATTTTTAGTCCCGGCCGGATTATGAGATAGGAAATAGGTTCCAGCAAGATATTTTTCTGACTGGAAATGGAAGCCGATCTGGCCAGGAACGCAAATCATTCTGGCCGGAAATGGAAGCCGTTCTAGCCAGTAATGGAACTCATTCTGGTAAGAAATTGAGGCTGTTTTAGCTGGACATGGAAATCCTTCCAGCCAGAAACAAAAGCGGTTCTCACTTGAAACAGAAGTCGTTCCTGTCGAAAACGCGAAATTTTCTTGCGGGAACTGACAGTTGTTCTGGAAAAATATCAGAATCACTCTCAATCGGAAAGCATGATGTTTGCAAGGGGAAGATGCCTGTCCTGATGCAATAAGGAGGCCGTGTTTCAGCAAAATAGTTACTGCTTCGATATTAGTCTTTTGCCTGCATAATATCTTCTTCTAGCTTGTATAGCCCACGGACAGCCACCATCGCAACTCGGTGTGCTTTCCTTCAGTCGAGTTTTCCCGTTTTACTGTAGCGCCAGATCAGGATACATAGCCTAGCGGATAAAAAAACAACCTTGAGACGGCTTCGGTGAAAATGCAACACGACGCGCGCTTCTCGCTTCCTACATGTGTCGGCGGATTGTGGCCTGGATACGGGGATATGGTCCCTAGAATATTACATGGGGGACGTGCGCACGCGTCTATTTCTTTGTGCCCCTAACGGCGAAAACCAAAAACTTTGAAACGGGGCAGTGTAAGCAACGCAGCTCCCTCTGGTCAGCGTGACAACTTCTCTCGGTGTTGAAGTGAAGGCTACAGAGCCTAATCGCGCGCATCTTACCGCCAGTGAGTGTAGTTCCACAATAGCGCCCGTATTTTTGATGGGAAATTTGTTCTTCCTTGATTTTCTGCGTGGAGCTATTTGAGACAGGAAGCAGCTCACACTATTATTATATTCGCATTTTCTCTAATTTATACGTTGTGACTTGGGGTTCTTAAACGCGCGAAAAAGAGAGGGAGATATAGACTTTATAACTTCCGGCAGATTGCTGGCATGGGCTCCCACCTAGGGGCCAACGGAGAGACCGTGTCTCCCGGCAGCTTCCTTGGCCTGCTGAATCGCCAAAAGTTGTTTTTCCAGGCCCGAACTGAGCAGCGCAGTCCGCCAACGCGCCCGAAGGTCTTCATTGGAGGCCGCGACCCCAGAATTTCTGACTAATGCTGGGCATTCCCATAAGATAGGGTCAAAAGTGGCTCTGGTGGTACAGTACTGGCATAGATTAGAACTATAGACGTTGGGATATATCAGGTGCATGATGACAGGGTTCATGTATGTGCGTGTTTGTAGCTGGGCCCGATTTACTTTGGAGTGACGTGGAGGGTACTTCCGCCTTTGCAGTCGATAGTGTTGAAATATGTCATGAAATTTAGTGAGCCGATCATCCAATTCCCACATCGGCGCGGAAAGATCCGTTTGGGTGGCCGCTTCGTCTGACGTGACTCGGAACGTAAGGCCTCAAGCCACGTTGTGCACGCGAAAAAGTCCAGAATGTTAGGTGTACCTCGAAGGCTAAGCGCCGTATGTGTCTGCATGAAACGCTGATGGTGTAACCCACCACTTTGCACAGCGTTATGAGACGCGTGCCAAATCGGACTACTTCGCGTACTGCTACTTGTGCAGGAGCTCCGCCCCGTAGCTCTACATTCAGTGCCAAGAAAAATTGTGGTCGAGTGCAGGCAAGTCATTGTTTAAGAAAAGAAGGCCAAATAAGCAAAACAAAACGAAAATGCACCACATTCTCTCAAAAAGGGAACAACTCAACCAGGGGCATAGGCAGAAGTTATTTCCGAAAGTAGGGGCATGGTACCTCCTTAATCTGAAGTAGAGGCCAGGCTGAATAATGCGGTTGAGTGTTATTTCGTGTCCTGTGTACCTCGGCAAAAAATGAATCTAGGGGGGG